TTATGAATTTGTGGTCTGTGAGGCAGAGGAGAGCCTGCCTGTGTTATCTGTGGGACTGAGACAGCGGACTGTGAGCTGCTAGGGACCAGACCTTTCCATCTTCATGCCTCTTAGGGCCCTTGACCGCATGATGGTTTTACCTTCTTATCTGCAGAGTTTCTTTCATTCTTTCCTCTTTTTCCTTATCTATCCAGAGCTGCAGGAAGAAGGGAAATGTCTTTATGTTTAAGAAGAGGAAAGCGAGGAACAGAAAGGGAAGAAACTGCCCGTCCTCATGGCAAGAGAGTAAGGATGGACAGACTTCCCTCTTTCACTTCCTATTTCTTTTTCTAGCTCCCAGCTCTCCCCACTGCCCTCATGTGTTTCATTTGTTTCAGGTTCTAGTGATGCATTTTGCTGCATCTCTCCAATTCTCATCTATGTAAGGAGAGAGGAAACAGTGTGAGTAGAGTCTGAATACCTCAGTCTCCACCCTATACCTCAGGAAAGGTGTGATAGGAGTCTGGCTTGGAAAGGGCAGTTGGTACAGAGAGGGAATATGGAAAAGCCCAAGGAAGGAGAATGAAGTGGTTGAGAGTTCAGGAATCAGGTACTGGGCTTCCCTGTCCAAGAAGATGGATGCCTTTCAAGGGGTTCCAGTGGGATGCAGAGCTACCCTTCCTCACTACACTGCAGAGGCGAGTCGTGATGAGTCCAGGTGCTAGGCAGTTCACCCTAATGTTCCTTGGGGCTAGCGCTATGGCCAGGGTCTTGGTGAGGCCCAACAAGGCTGTTTTACTGACATTGTAAGGACTGAAGCCCTGGAGAAAGAAGGGAATGTGTCAGACTCATAGTTTCCAGGTCATTCTTGGTTCTAATTACTAGACAGAAAGGGCAGTGCTCAATAGGGATCTCCTGTAAGGGAGGGGCACAGTTAGGAAACTGTCTTGTGGCTAAACCTCCCCCAGGTTATGGTTTGTAGAGGCAAGGCATCTTGCAGGGCAGGGACTTGGTGTGATTCTAAAAGGGGACACAAACTTCTTTGGGTTATATAACAGGAGGGGTGGAAAGATGTAGAGTGGAGGATGGGATGGAAGGGGCAGACAAAAGGTTTCTTACAAGAGATGGACTGAAGGCTGCTACAGAGGGCAGGAATACCGCTGAGCCACCCCTGGAAAAAGAAGAGAGCTGACCCTCTTCCCAGTGTGGACCACTGCCCTCAGCCCGTGTGAGGTCCCATCTCACCCAGGCTCTCCCTCACTCTCTGTACCCTCGTTTCTGGCACCACTGCCTTTGTCATCAGGGCTGGGGCCTTCACATTAATGTCCAGAGTCTGAAGCCAAGAGAAGAAGGGGAAACAGCATGAGTGAAGAGCACTGGAGGAGGATGGCAATGAGGAGTTAGAGTGGGTTCCTAGGATGTTTGTCAGAGCTGACGAAGGTCTTAGGATAATTCACCTGCATCTTGCACATGAAGAAACTGAGGTTCAGGGAGAAGTAGCTCTCACCAGCTGCTTAGCTAGATAATGATACATTAGGTTCAGGTGAGAAAAAATGGAACCTGGTTCATCTTGTTTCGTGACCAGCCAAGTATGATGTGGCCCAGAAGGGGCCTAAATCCTCAGGGCTCCTTTGGATTTGAGCTGCGTTTTCTGCGTTTCTTCAAAGTAGGGAGAGCCTGCAATTGTCAGCTTCCTGGAGCTGTCTTAAAGTGTGCCATGCTTCTTAGGGAAAATGTGGCCTGACCTTGGATACCTGGGGTTGTTCTAGCACTTCTCTGGCTTCTGTGCTTAGGGAGTGAGATGCTCTTGGCCCTCTAGGATGGACTGCCTGCCTAGACCTGATTAGAAAGTGGGATCATGAGGAGGCACCTTCTGGGGAAGCTGGGAGACAAGGTACAATCAGAATCCCCACATCCATAATCTAAAACAAATACATGACCCCTGTTTACATTGTTCTAGACAACTGCTTATATTAAAATATTTCAATCTTACAGAAAAATTGGAAATAGAAGTACAACGAGTATCTAGAGATCCTTCACTTAGATTCACCAGTCGTTCTCTACTAAAAATACGAAAATTAGCTGGACGTGGTGGCATGTGCCTGTAATCTCAGCTACTTAGGAGGACGGAACAGGAGAACAGCTTGAACCCGGGAGGTGGAGGTTGCAGTGAGCCGAGATCGCACCACTGCACTCCAGCCTGGGCAATAGAGTGAGACTGCATTTCAAAAAATAAATAAATAAATAAAAATTAAAATAAACAAACTTAGTTGCAGATACTGGAATGCTCTATCCCTAAATACTTACCATGCATTTCCAAAGAGCAAGGATGTTCTTTTACGCAACCATAATCCATTATCACACCCAAGAAGTTTGACATTGATGATAATTTAATCTAATATATTGGCCTCAATTGTCCCCAAATGTGTTTTTTTTAAAAAGTTCAGAGTTCAATCAAGGATCAGGCATTATGCTTGGATTTGATGTACTGTGATATTTAAAAAATATATATAATCTAAAAGAAAAGTTACAGGTACATCTTATTTTATCACACTTTGCAGATATTGTGTTTTTTTACAAATTGAAGGGTTTTACAGATGGAAAGTTCATGGCGCTAACTGGAGCCATTTTTCCAACGGCATGTGCTCACTTTGTCTCTGGGTCACATTTTGGTAATTCTTGGGAATATTTCAGACTTTTTCATTATTATTATATCTGTTACAGTGATCTGTGATCAGTGATCTTTCATGTTTTTATTATAATTGTTTTGGGG